TTTTTAATTTATAAGAGGCGGTCACACTCAGAGGCTTGCTGTGTGAAAGGGGTCACCAGTACAAAAGTTTGAGAACCACTGCTGTTGGAAGTGGTCCCTCCTGATTTGGCTGAAAGGAAATAAATCAGAGAGAAGAAAACTCCAAGGAGGATTAGGTCAGAGTTAAATTGATATGGGTTGATGTAAAAATGTCCTGACAGAAAAACACTAAGTAAATATGTAAATAGTTAAGCTTGTATTTTTAATACAATGTTTATTTATTTATTTTCTTTCTATCTGGGATATTTCATTCAAAGTGCCAACATTTTAAACTCCATCAGGATGATGGGCAGATAGGAGACTGAGGGTGTTGGTCTGCTGGAAAGTGTTAATGGCTGCCATTAAGTTTTCTTTGATCTATAGACAATTGTACAGCTCGTTGAAGCTGATAGATGTGCTAAGCACCTTTCTTTCAGGCTGAATGGAAATAACAATTAAATGCCTCTTTGTGCAGTAATAGCTGAAATAATAGGAAGCTGCCACCCAAGGCAATGGACCAGATGGCCAGATTGATCAGAAATAAAGTTAAGATTCTGTCACAGGTATTTTTAGTAAAAGTCAGTTTTGGGCTGGGCAATAAACAAAAATTCCAGAAGCCTATGAGATGTCCCTGACTTTAAACTTAAAATACCTTCGGAGAGGGGAACAATATTCAGACTGCTGCTGGGGGCTTGCAGCTGCTCTACTGAGGGCTTCTGCAGCTTGTGGCAGAAGCAGACCACCACTGCTCCAGCCCCAGGGAGGCTGATCCAATCCTAGGTGCTGCTCCAGACCCACCCCAGAAGAAGTCACAGAGGTCCTGGAAAGTCAAGGAAACCCTTGGCCTCCATGACAGGATCATATCCTTAATCAGAAGGTAAGGTGTGTGGACAGAGGGGTTTCCCTGTGACTAGTTGCAAACACAGGGGTGAGGTGGTTGATTGGCTGCAGCTGCGTGTGTCTGTTTGTTTTGGAGTCTGACTTCTCACTCCTCATCCTCAAAGGAAGCCTGCACAATACCTTCAAAGACAAGCATGGGAACTTAAATTCATAGTTCTGCTAGACACTAAAAAAAATGGACTTAAGAGACAGACTGGTTGTATGGGTCATTACAAATTTGTAACACACCCCACTGCCTGCTAACCCTTAATTACTTACTTTATATTAAATAGTCTCCGACAGCAAACGTGAACCCTTTATGATTAACAATCTATCCCAACTTGTATTTAGGTTAGACAACCTAGTTACCGTCCCGAGACTTGAAGAAGAGATCAGTATAGTTTCAAAGCTAGTCCCTTCCACCAACAGTCGTTGGCAAAATAAAACATACTACCTCATCTGCCTTGTCTTTCTAGAGATAAAAGTGATCATTATGGTCAAAAAATGTTTTTTTCAACTATTCAAACTACTGAGAACCTGATTTAGTTTAGCAACATTCTTCATTCTACCCTCAGATACATAATACAACTTCTTTTTATAGTATTATTATTTATTTATTTGTATTGCAGTAGCACCTAGGAGCCCCAGTCATGGGCCAGGACCCCATTGTATTAGGCAACAAACACAGAACAAAATGGCAGTCCCTGCTCCAAAGACGTTACAGTCTAAGACAAGAAACAACAGGTGGATAGATAGACAGGTCGATGAGGGAGAACAAGAAATAAATGAAACAATATCAGTTTGCATCACCAGCGGTGATCTCAGCACACCTAACCATTGTGAACTTTTGTAGACATCATGGCAAAGGAGATTTTAAGGAGGGATATTGAAGCTTGATTTTAAAGTAGCCAAGCAGAAAATAAAGTCTTCAAACTTTATTTTGTTTGTTTTTAAACACAAATCTCCACAGTTTTAAAATAAGATTTCTAAAAATGACCATGCTAAGGATTTTCTCTTGAAAAAAATTTTTTTTCATCAGGCTTCTCCTGATTTTGAAAGCTGCCATAAAACTATTTAACAGTCAGTTTGAGCTCCTGGGCCAAATTTTGCCAGAAACAAACCACACACACCATTCCACTAACACCAATGGAAGTTTTCAGGTATGATGGCAGAATTTGAGCCATAATGAAGTTCTCAAGCTTCTTTATTTTGTGGACTACTTCTTGAGCTTCCAAATAAAAATGTGAAGCAGCAACATGCTGCTGGTGTTAGATGGAACCTAGATATTATGTTCATTGGTGCTTTGTAAACTAAAAAGATAGATATAATCAAAGATATTTTGTTAAAATTTAAATTTAATTGTTTAAAGTCTTGGGAAACCTAAGAATTCTACTGGGCTACAATTACTAGGACAAATCAGTGTCTGCGGACCGACAAATGTTTCGCCACTATGACAGAAGAAGCTCTACAGAGCATACGAGAGTAATTCACTATGGACCACAGTTTGAAAACTACTGCCTTTATATATATCCCATTCAAGAAAAAGGCAGCAAGATTGGACCATGAACAGGATCATTGAAGAGGAAAAAGAAGTGCTGTAAAACCATATTTGGGGTTGCTGTAAAATGTGTCCTGAATTAAACTCTTCCCACATGGGCTTAAAGCAACTTTACCTCTTACTACTGTAGGGTCATGTCCTGTGTGGATCTCTCACTGACATTAATAACACTGTTCTACAGCCAAAATGCTTCTGAAATAAATGTAGTCAAACTTTACTAATTCTGGGTCACTGAGAACGAAAATGATGCTTAAAATTGTTGATTGGCTCTAGTTTTCAAGATATGCTATTCGGTCAGTATATACGACCCTTGACTTGGGAATGGCGGAGGATAAGTGAGCTATAAAGGGAAGGGATCTCAATTTAAATCAGAAATGATTAAAATACATCTTTGACTGGATCTATGAATAAATCTATGACTGGGTTTGGACAGTACTTGCTTTTTAGGCAAAACAATGAATGACGCAATCTGAAGCTGGTATTACGTCATACATGATATGAATTGCATCATGTTATTCCTAGAAGTCATGGATGATGCAATCATAACGAAGCTTACATCACTCTGCTGAACAAATTGCCCTATATCAGCTCTAGAAATCATACAGTGTCATGCTCTCTTATTGGTCAGTGTTTGATTTTGCAAAGGGACACATTTCTGTTT